TATTATCTATCAAATATTTTCGACATATACAATAATAATAATAACTTTTTATAAATTTCAGGATTGTGTAGGAGCCACAGATGAGACTCATATTCGTGTGAAAGTATCTAAAAAAGATGCACTAAGATATCGAGGAAGAAAAGACTATCCAACACAAAATGTCCTAGCGGCATGCTCGTTTGACATGAAATTTACATATGTTTTGCCTGAGTGGGAAGGAACGGCATCTAATTCAAGGGTCATAAAAGATGTTCTTTTAGAACGAGAAGAAAAACTAATAATCCCTAAAGGTAACTTAAGTCATTTGTATCAAATTTATGATTTAATAAGTTAAAAATAGTAACTTATAATGTTTTTATTTCTTCTAGGTAAATATTATTTAGTGGATGGAGGTTATATGTTAACGAGTGGAATAATAACTCCATATAGAGGTGTTTGGTATCATTTGAAAGAATACTCATCAAAGTGCACCAAAAAATGCTCAAGAATTATTTAATCTTTGACATTCTTCCTTGTGTAATGTAATTGAAAGAGTATTTGGTGTGCTTAAAAAACGATTTTCAATTATTTCAACGGGTGCAGAGGCTCATTACCTAATTAATACAGTTACAGAGACTGTTTTAGCATGTTGTATCCTACGCCATTATCTAATGGGTATAGATCCTGATGAAAGATTGATTGAAGAAGTTGATCGAGACCTCACGAACATGGATGCACATAATGACGAGGATAGACACACTATAATGATAACAAAGCTAAGTAATGATCAATTATAAGGAATGTCATAGCAGCTAACATGTGGGAGGACTACGAACTATGATGTTTCTATTTTTTCTTTATATTTGTTACAGTATTTTCATGCCTTTAATTTATTGAATCATGATGACATTTTATTTCTAATTACTATATCTTGTTATGTTAGATATCTATTTCACATTAAAATTTGTCATTTGTGGGTTTATATTTTTACTCTTTTTTTTTGAAATATGTGCTGTAGAGAATTTATTTTTATATGATATAAAAAAATTATAGGTCGTGGAAATGAAGAAATCAAATAAGAATGCGAATATGAATGATATTAAGAAAGATGCAATAAAATGGACTGAAGAAATGGATGATATATTACTTGATGCATTATTGGAGCAACAAGAAAATAGGAACAGAGTTGATGGAACTTTCACATCTACTACATATTCAAATGTTATGAAGATATGCTCTCAAAAACTTGGCTATCCGTTTAACAAAGATCACGTGAAAAATCGTACAAAAACAATGAAAAATAATTTTAACACATGTTATGACTTGTTCAAAAGTTTAAGTGGGATATCATGGAGTCCAGAAACAAAACTCTTTGAAACTGAACCAAAAGTATAGAAGGCCCTCATACAGATATGCAGTCATTTTATTATTTATTTTAATTATTTTATTTTTAGTTTATTTAATCGTTATATATATTTGAATGATGCATGATATATGTTTCTTACTTTTAGGCAAAACCATCAGCTTCAAAATGGAAGCACACCAAAATCAACCATTATGGTAAGTTGTTTGAACTTTTTGCAAAAGATAGAGCTACGGGTTAAGGTGCTAAAAGTGTAAAGGAAAAAGTTCGCAAATGGGGAACAGAGAATGGTACCTCAAGTAGTACTCAAAACAACAACCATGAGTCAAATTCACATTGTGGGGGGGTCTTCAAAGGGTTCAAAAAGAAAGGATGTAATGGCTGATGTGTTTAAGAGAGAGATTGAAGTTATTGGATCTGGAATTAACAAAGCAGCTGAAGCAATTGAAAAAGGAAATCTTATTGCTGAGAGGAGACTCGAAATTGCAGCAAAGAGAGTTGCAATAGCTAAGAAAGCACAAGCTAATAATCATCCAGACGAAGAATTATTTGCTAAACTAATGAGAATTGGAGTTCCTGATAATAAATAGTTAGATGCATTTATATTCCTTATCAAATACCCTCAGCACAAAAGCGCATCTTTTGTTGTTCCAACTCAGAGGCGTCTGGAATTGCTTTATATGCTGATGGATGGAGAAAATGACTCTTGTAGAGTCAATAATTTTTTGTTCATGCCTCTATTTTTCTATTTTTTTTTTGCACTACATTTCAATTATTGTTATATACTTTATTTGTTTATTTTGGTTGAAGATTTGGTTTCTTTATTTAAATAAATAAAATAAATTGATCGCTCTTAAATTTTATTTAAGATGTTTTTACATTGTTTTCTTTCATTTTTGTGGTATGAAAATATTAGTCAATACAAAGTATAGGAGTGATTTTTCTAATAATAGCAAAAGGTTCAAACATATCTTATGAAATATTTTACCTGGTCTTATAAATTAGTAATTGCTAGGCATTTTTCAGTGATTGAATATTGTGAGAAGTATGAATTGTTGAATTTTCCAATAAGAAAACCCATTTAACACCATCTGAATTTTGAAGTATATTGTGAGAAGTATAAAATGTTGATTTTGCCAATCAGAAAACCCATTTAACATTACACCATCTGAATTTGAAGTATTCCTTTTTAAAAAATAATAAAAAAATTGTTTGGTATGTATAAAACATTCATTTTAGACAACTTGTTAGTAGAGCTCAATATTATTAAATAATTTTAAATTAATTAATTTTATAACTTTATATAGTAAGGGTATATTAGTAAAAAGTATATAAAAACTAATAATTCATTTCTTCCAACCAAACAAAAAAAAAAAAAAAACCTAGCACTCCATCAATCCTTTTTGCCATCCCTTCTATTCAACAAAACAAAAAATGAAGGAGACACTTTCCCTTCCTTAGGGAAGACTCGTCCATCCCTCCCCCTCCCCCTGCTATCCATTTTTCCATCCCTCCAACCAAACGGAGCATAAATGATGGAAAGAAGTCCAAATGATGTTGCAACACCGACGATCAAAGCATTGATCGAGGATCAAAAAATAAAATTATGTCACGTTTTAGACAAGGGCGATTGATTGTAATGTTTAATATTTTTTATATATGGAAAGGTATTAATGTATTTTTTTCCTTCGATTAGTCGAAGGTATGTAATGTACTTTTTCTCAATATTTGTAATATCATTATTTTTTAAAAAAAATTTCAAAACATATAATCGAAGCAAACAATTATAACTATTAGCAATATAGTTGTTGGGAATATAGCTGTTGAAAAAAACACAAACAAACAGTTAAAAAAATATATTTTATTTTCTTAATAAATAATTTTTAAAAATAATAAAGTTAAAACCGTGATAGAAGTGTGCATATCAATAGAAAAGAGTCTAAAAAAAACTGTAGAACCAACATCCGGTGTTGCATAGTTTGTAAATATAGGAGATAATTTATTTTATTTATTATTTTTGTTTCAAAACGTTAAAAAATTCGGCGTAAGAAAATTGAAAATAAAAAAACACTAATACAAATATAATTGGATATAATACTTTTTTGTTTAAAAATCCAACCCTACATACACTATTTTTATTATCTCTTGTCTTATATATTTCCATTTTAATAATATTTTGTAAACCATTCATTTTAATAATATTACATATAAAATATTATAAATAGCAAAAAATATGAAATGTTATAAAGAGATAAGGAATTTACGAAAAAGTGGTAGAAAATTTTAGGGTAAATTGCACTGACACTCCTTAAGGTTTTGGTCAACACCACTCAGTAGATGGTTAATGACTTTTTTTACATTGACACCACTGAGGTTTTAAAAATGTGCATTGACACTCCTCCACATCTCTGAAACCATATAAAATTACCTTTTAACCCTTTAACTTGTCAACGACTCCATTTAATTATAAATCATAAAATTATAAATTTAACCTCCTAACTAAATTTAATGGACCAAACTAACATATTCATCTATTTTATACATATAGATATAGTTTATATATAAGAATATTTATACCACCATAACCACCACCACAACATAAAAAGAAAATTATTATTTTTTTAAATAGCCAAATAACTATACATCACTGCATCCAAACACCATTGTAATTTTTTTTTTTTTTTTGGAAAGTAGCTATGACCAACTCATACTTACACGTCACAAATACCACCAGAACTACTATCACACTAAGACACCACCACCACACCAAGATAACACCTTCAACACACCCAAACGTTACCAGAATCACCACCACTACCACAACAGAAAATAAAAATAAAATAAATTTGAAACACCCCAATAACCCAGACACCACTGTAACAACCACCACTAGAGTAGAAAAAAATTAAAACAGCCATGACCAGCCTAAACCCACCACAACAGAAAAAAAAAAAAAAAAAAAAACCATGTCTAACTCAAACACCACCACCACCGGCCACTACAACAATAGAACGGGAAAAAAATTAAAAAACAGTGATGGGTATTTTTATCTCACCATTCCCACCAATTATCTTATTTCCTCTCACACCCACTTCCCTTCCCTTACTCATCTTAATCGCAAATCAAACACAACCACACAACCACAAACCGCAACATTTTCCCCCCTAAATTAATGTAATTAACTTGCCTTAGCTGCCATCTCCTCCATTGGCGAATGACAAGGGGCACAATTTACAAAAAAAAAAAGAAGTTGTAAGAAAGAGGGGAATAGAGAGATCAGGAAGAGAGAGAGAAAGTATTGGCGGCTAGGTACTAAAATGAATAAAATAAAATAAAAAAATTAGAGATTATGATAGAGAAAAAAAATAACGAAGATAGTTTCATTAAATAACTGATATTTTGTAAATTAATTGAATTAAATATTCATGGGCAAATATGATATTTGGACCATAGGAGTGACATTGTTGAAAAAGCGGTTAATCCATATTTGAGTGACACCGGCCGAAGCCTCAAGACTAGTCATTGCAATTTACCAAAAAATTTAAATCCTTTAACCTATTTAAAGAAAAAAAAAAATTCTTCTTTTTTTTCGAAGGCATGTGACGCATGTCGAGTCTCATTTTACAAATTTGGATTTTGAATAGTATATAAAACAAGTAGCGAAGTGTTTGGCTATACTTTTCGGGAAAAACCAGTAAAGGAGTATCCGTGGCGTGATTGAATATCGGAGGGTTTCTCTCTCTCGAGCCAAAACCATGGCAAAGAAACAACTGGTCGTTGCGGTTGAAGGGACTGCGGCTTTGGGTCCCTTCTGGCACTCTATTTCCACATCTTACTTGGAAGACATTGTCAGGTCTGTTCTTTTCTACCGGTGTATCATTTTTGGGTTTTTATTTTTCAAAACCATTGTCTCTGCTGCTGTAAATTTGACCCAAGGGTTTTACAATTGATTTCAATTTACGAGTACCTATTTGTTTCTCTTATGATTATCTATCTTCAGATTGCCACCCTTCTCTTCTGTAATCGCATGTCGTTGTATCAATTTTTGTTAACTAGTATATTTAATTGTTTTTAGCTTTGTCCATGCCTCAGACTAGGGTTTTCTTTATATGAAGCATCTATATTCCTTTTTTTTTTGTGGGTGGGGGGTAAATAAAGCATCTGTATTCTTCTTAATCATGCAACTAAAAAAGCAATTTGGAATTGTTCTCTGCTGAAACTAATACGCTGTCTACTTTCTGTTTGCTTAAGTACACGCGTGCTTGATTTTACTTACTGCATGGCGGGTTTAGCTGCCTTCAGCTATCGTTGAAATTTAGCACTGAAGTAGCATCAAGGACCACATTGAAAACCTAAATTGTTTTGTTTTTTGTTTTTTTTCTTTCTCCAAGATGTTCTGTGCGAGCATGTTGCACAATGAAGTAGGTCGGACTACACATTGAAGTTGAAGTCATAATTTGTTATGTTTTTGTTTTATTTAGGGTTACGCTAACGTTTGTTTGGACAATGATCTTATGCGAAAGGGCCCAAAATTAATGCTGGTATATTCGAAAGAATCTTCGTTCGGCTTGATCATTGTAATTGTCAGGGTTCATATTGAAAAATCTAAATGATAGCAACTTGAAATTTGTCAATCTGGTAAATCTAAGAGAGACCTCCTAATCTACCTTCACAATATTCTGCAACGTTGGGATATGATTGAGTTTGATGATGGAGAACTGTGATATCATAAAAAAACAATGCCATTGTCTTCTTAATCTTGCCCATGACAATTAATATATAAATATTTGTATTTTTCACTTTTTTCCTTTTGTGTAATGCTAAAAAGTAAAATGAATTGTATTGCAATTGGCTTGAATGACTATGATGACCAAGTCAGGGTTGAGCCGTTGAGGTTATTATATGTAAAAGATCTTTGTTCCTTTTGGTCACGCAACATAATGGGCAACTGAATGTTGTCATATGGTATAACTAAGAGAGGGAGAGGGAATGGGTCTTAATTGAGCTATTGAGTCGAGGTTATTGATGAATTTAACAATGTCTCGTGGTGATCTTATAGGTATTGGAGTTTTGATATTTTCCATAACATTGCATGTAAAGATATCATTTTTTTCCTTCTACTCTTGGGTAATTTCGTTTTTTTTATGCTTCATGTATCATATGGGAATTGTTCATGATCAGTACTGATGATTTTACTTGGTAGATCTCTATGTGTGGAATTAGTATATCGTGTTGCATACCGATTTACTACACTTGAGGTGCTTGCAGAAGCGTAAATATTCATCCTCAAGATTATGTGGCCAGTATAAATAATCTGCAGTGGCATAACCTTTTGAATGTTAATCTTCATTCCTTTGCCCACATCAATGCCTGGCAATGGAAACTATGACATTTGTGCCAATGACACATGAGTATAACTTCAGTAAGTTAAATCGTATGTCAGTGTGTCTGAATCTAGATACATGTCTAAGCAAGCAAGCATGAACAAAATCAAGCTCATAACACGGTATTGTGTAAGCTCCCCCAACCCCCACAATGTATTTGATAAGATACCCTTCTTGGTGGATCTTATTTGGCGCTCTATAAGGGTAGATTGATAAGATGTATCTTTGTACTGTCTCGCTGTTAAGCGTTAATGATCTTGTAATAAACCTGTCTAGAACATTTATGTGGAAACTTTGTTTATAATATACTATGGTTATGTGCTTGATTTGATATGTCGGGAAGTCTTAATCATTGTTTCTTGAACACCACCAATCTTTTTACAAGTGACAAAATACATGCATTATGTGTTTGATTTCATGAGTGTGCTGTTAGATTGGGATATATCCTTTCACTGCATGTCACATTGAGCTAATGTGAATACCTATCATGGCAAATGAGTATGTCTTAAGATACTGTAACAAACTCTCTTTCTTGGAATATTTTTTTCTAGAATGAATGAACATGTCATTTTCTTGCATCTCATGTGTGATTGAACTCAACCAAATGGTTAATCCATATTTGTAGCTATACTGAATGCAAGGATGCTTTGAGCTTTTATCTTAATCCATTTGTTCTCAGATCATATGTACGAGGTTCATACATTAATTATCATTAGTTAGATCATCTAAGCAAATGACATTCTAGTTATAAATAGATATTGGCTCTGAATCATTGTTTAATCTGTGCAGGAGTTTTTGTGGTAATGAGTTGACAGGGCAGGTATGCATTTCATATGATCTGAAGTTTTTGAAATTTAACTGTGCTGTATCTAAATTGGCATCATGCTTGTGGTTTTTCTTTATATGAACTTTTTCATATGGCATAGCCTATACATGCAGATTTGTTGAACAAATTCCCAGTTCCTATGTGAAAATAAAAAGGTTTATTTAAGATATGTATGATTGCATTTTGGTCTTTGTTGTCTGATTTATCTGTTTTTCCACTACTAAATTCATCACTCGTTCGTTCTTATACCTAAAGAGTTATAAAGGAGTTCCTAGAGTTAAAACAAACATAAATGGAGGCGGAAAAGGATCATTTATTGGGCTCAATTTGGATAGCTGTGACTACAGAGGTTAAAATATTTTTGTTGAGAGCTGTCTTGAGGGATTGACTTCAATTATGTGGACTCTGAGAATGAAGATGCATAACTTGGTTGAGGACATGTATCGATAGTGCAAGTTTAAATTACTATGATAGTGTAATTCCCGTGGTCTAAATATTTTTGGACTAGGTGATGGACCTAAGGTGTGCTTTTTGCGTGATATGGCATGGGATGTTATTTCAAACTTGTTCCCTAACCCTGTTGGGATAGTAGTGAATTGGAGGTTGTTAACAACCATTTACTCCAAAACCTAAGGCGCGTGGCCTTCTTTTGGTCCAACACATGTTTTAGTTTTTAAATTATTAGGGTGACGGTGAGGTTTAAAGTCGAGACCTTTGGCTCTCATACCATGTACTCCAAAAGCTTAAGCTATTAGAGAGGGTGTAATTTAAATGTATAAATCTTTCAACATGCCTTCTCACTTGTGACCTTCTTTTTGGTCCAACGCGTGTGTCAATTTTAATTATCAGGATGGACGATGGTGAGGTTTGAACACGATACTTTTGGCTCTGATACCATGTTAACAACCATCTACTCTAAAAGTTTAAGCTATTAGAGAGGTATAACTTTAATATTTAAATACTTCAACCCGCGCCCCCCCCCCCCCCCCCCCCCCCCCCCCCCCCGCGGTTTCGTTTTTGGTCCAACACATGTTTCAATTTTAAATTATCACGGTGACGGTGAAGTTTGAACATAAGATCTTGCATGCTCTGATACCATGTTAACAACCATCTACTCCAAAAGCTTAAGCTGTTAGAGAGGGTATAACTTACATATCTAAATCCTTCAACAGAGGTGATGATGGGTGATCTTGCTAAGGGGTTCTAGTGGTGTTGGTGTTGATTTTGGAGGGTAGTTCCTGATTTGGAGGTTGAGGATGTGGAGGGGTCCTTAGCTTGCTATATAATAATGGTATTAGGGATGGCGGCTTTGCCCTATAATGTAAAGTTAGAAATGAGTTCATTTTACAATGTAAAGTTTGATGACTGCTAAACTTTGGGAGGAAAACAGGGTGAAAGTGACTCTTCTTTTTTTTTTTTTTTTTTTTTTTTTTCCAACGGTACTAGGGAAATATCAATAAGTTAACTAGGGTGCAATTCAGGTGGGTTGGGTGAATTCAACCTAGTCTTCAACCCAAGCTCACTAACTGAGCCTAACCCATGTTCAAATTTTTAAACTTGGATTTGAGATCGGGTTAGAAAAATTATCTAAGTATTACTTTATTGTATTTAATTTGTAAACAAAAGAAGTTGAAAAGAAAAGGGTGATCTTAATTTGAAATTTTATATAATATATTTTTAAGTAAAAATATATAAAAAATAAAATTAGAACTCCGCTCTTGGTTTGGCTTTGGTTGCTGACACCTCAATCCAACTATAACCCTAAATAAATTACAAACAAATTCTTAAAAAATTAATTCTCCTAAACGTTAACATATAATAAACTAAGATATAACAAAGGAAGTTAAAAAGAAAAAAAAAAAAGAGATCATAATTTGAATATTATATATAATGTATTTAAAATAAAATATATATATGAAAATAATATTAGAATTTGGGTTTGGGTTGGGCTCGAGTTGCTAGCACCTCAACTCAAGCCCAACCCTAATTAAGTTCGGTTGAGATTTTTCAACCCAGTCCCAACTCTACTTGTAAAAATAATTGCCCAAGTCCGCGAAAAATGGGACTGGGCTCAGGTTGGGTTCGGCTTGCCTAACCCAAGTTGCACCCCAACTTAAACTGAACACAAACTTTCTCCAACTATTTGTGATGGATGCATGAAGGTTGTTTCGTCATTCTCCTCTAGCTAAGGACACAACCTCAGTTAACCACATGCTATTATATTTTTCCCTATTTACATGATTACCCTCATAAGGAAAACGTCGCTTTTCCTAACTAATGCCGTTATTGACCATCACCGCATATGGTCAATCCATCTTAGTAGGTTCCCTCTCATTCTTCAACTATCTCTCAGACTTGCTTATTTATAATTTTCTCATTTTTTGTCTTGCCACACATCCATCTCGCATTAACATTTTTGCCCCACTCTTATTTTATAAATATGTTGGTATGGATGGTCATCTTGCAATTTTAGAGGTATGCACCGATCACACAAGATATCAGAGATACTCTTCAATTTTATGTATGCTTAACTTATTAAAGCCTTTTTCTCAACTACTCGGAGTCAACTACCAGTATCCTATTTTTTCATGTTGCTCTATGACCCTAGGCTCGGTCAAACCACATGTTATCATATCCTTCCTTACTAACTCTACCCATGTTAGCTTTTGTCTTACCCTCCCCTGTCATTACTCTCAATATGGACCATGTCACTTGTTCTAATTGTCGCATTTAGTGGTCTTCTTTGTACATGTCCAGACCATCTTAATTGATTTTCTCTCATTTTATTTTTATTATAAACATCATTCCCTAGCATTGCCTTGGTGCTCCATCCTGCTTTAATTTTATAATTAACATCATCCCAATTTATGAAAATATTTGGTTTATGATACCTATCAAATCTTGACCTTCACTGCACCCTCCTTGTATGTCTAGTTTTAGTTAAGTTATATTCCATATAACTCAATTGTACCTCTTGACTAGAGTGTCTTTGTCTAAATATATCAGAAAATGAAATTGTTAATGTTTTGAGATATGCAGACACACACATACATTAAACGTTATAAATGCATCATGCATGCATTTTTTTCATTTGCTACTGCTCATACTATGCTCGTTCTTTTTTACTTTAAGATTCTATTAGAAAAATATCTTTTTGACTTTTTTTATTTTTATTTTTATTTTTTAATTTACAGCTATTTAGCTTGCTAACAATGGCCTTTATTAATTTTGAATCTCTATTTAAATTTTCTTTTAATTTTTTTGAGTACAGAAGCCATCTGCCTCTAGTGTTGAGCTTTCTCTGGTCATGTTTAATGCTCATGGATCTTACAGCGGTATGTATTTTCCACATTCTTCTTAACCCATGTTATTGGAGTTCGTGTTAAATATTATATTGCTTGCTAGTGATTGAACTACTTATTGAGAAATAAAACATGGTGATCCCACATATACTCAACAACTATGAACCACACCCACCGACCTGCCCACACTCTTCTTTTCCTCGAAGTAAGACTTGTATAGCCAACTCACAAGTGGGGATGTAATGTTTTGCAGTAGGACATCATTTCAAACATGACTCAAACTTGACACGAAGTTAGAGGGTTTATGTTGATCTCAGTGGGTTCGTTTCATAACAGGTTGACACAATTAATCTGCTTAATATATCTGTCCTATTTAGGTTTTAACCCTCAATCTTTTTAATAAGATTTGATCCATTTATTATCTGTGTTGTTAGACATGAATCCCACCCACCCCATTTAGCTTGTAAAAACAAGGATACTTTGACAAATTTATCAATCAATTTAAGGTTATTTTTATTTTTTCGGTAATCTATAAACTTTTCTCTTCAGCTTCAGCTTCAGCGAGAATGTTTCCTTTTACATTCATCTTTATAACTTCTTTTGCGGGGTTTCTTTTTTTATATTATTCACACACAACATCAATTGATATATTGATTAAAGTCTTTTTTTGACAGTTTAGTTTAAAGTTATTAATTTAATATTGGGTTAGGGTTTTGGATTATGCCATCTATTTAAATGGGTTTAATGTTTTCTTTGCTCTATTCCTTTCGTTGAAATTGTGCGGTTGCCAAGAAAATATAAGAAGGAAAGGAATTAAGATGTTCAATCTTTGCACTTGAGAAAATTAATTGATTATTTCCTTTCGTTTCTAGAAACCTAGGCTTATGGTAATGTATAATCCCTATTGTTTTCTTTTCTTTGGTTTGCTCACCAACCAAAGAAGGATTATGTTTGGTACAATCTGGTTGAATGATTGGGGATTCTGATTGTGGTTGGGGATTCTAATTGTTGGTTGTGGGACCCTCACTCTTAGGGCCGCTTTGAGGTTCGATCTTTCTTTAGGTGTCTCATGGCTGGGTCTGGAGGCCATTTCCCTTGGAAGTCTGTTTGGCGCTCCAAGGCTCCTCTCAAGGTGGCGTTCTTTGCCTGGACTTTTGTCTTGGGTAGGATTTTAACCCAGGATAATTTGAGGAGGAGGAATCAGGTGGTGGTTAATCGCTGTTACTTGTGCCTGCGGGATGAGGAGACAGTGGATCACCTTCTTTTGCATTGCAGTATGGCTAGGGACTGTTGGGATTTGATGCTTGGCTTATTTGGGATTCCCTGGGTCATGCTTTGATCCTCTAGAGGGTTAATTGAGGCTTGGAGAGGTTTTTCAGTTGGGGCCTCTCGTTCGGGATGCTTGGAGGGCTACGCCTCTTTGTTTTTGGTGGTGTATTTGGCTTGCGAGAAATCGGAGATATTTTGATGGAAAGGAGAAGCCTATTTCTATGCTTAAGTTCTCTATTATTTCCACTCTCTTTTGTTGGGTTTCAGGGAGAGGGAGAGATTATTGATCTATTGAGGAGATTGTTGTTTTTTGGCCTCTTTGAAGGCTTATGGCGTTTTTTGGCCTTGTGTATTTCTTTAGGTTTCGCTCCCCTTTTGAGCGCTCTTTTATAAAATTTTACTTAGCAAAAAAAAAAAAAAAAAAACAAACAAACTGGTTGAATGAGTTTTTATCTGTCTCTGTGACTTGTCAGGTTCATGTAGACAGCTGTGTATTAGAAGGTTGTGTTAGGGTTGAGTAACAGCTTGTGTTTGGACTGAATGAGCATGGCATGACTGGGCTTGATTGCCACCCCCAGTTTGCAGAGTTGATAGATTTTTTTTTGGAATATTTATAATTCCACAAAAGTTTCATGAACTAAATGCACTATTTGGCTTTGGAGTTTCAATCAAAGTTGATTTTATATGCAGTTGTGTGATGTTAAAATTACAACTTTTCTTAAGGTTCCATAACTTGAATTAATTTATTTTCTCTTTCAAAGTGGTGAAGTTTTTTTTTTTGGTAATTTTTTTTTTACATGTTTTGATAAATTCAGTAAAATGCTGTCTTTGCTTATTATGATAAATTCAAATCTAGTATTAATGTTTGAATTAAATATTGTTTGATTCTTAAACTTAACTCACTTATAGTGCTTCCATTTTTATTCCCGGCTTTGCTCCCAGTTTTACCATTGTTTCTGCAGCTTGCCTAGTACAGCGGAGTGGATGGACACGAGATGTTGATATTTTCCTTCAGTGGCTATCTGCTATACCATTTGCTGGTGGTGGTTTCAATGATGCTGCAATTGCGGAAGGACTTTCTGAAGCTTTGATGGTGGGCATTTTGGTTATGCTAGCTTTTTATATGGGTTTGACATTTTTCGTTTCTTAGTTCATGAGCACTAATGCAATCCTGGAGTTATTTTAATCTCTCTACATAAGGACTTTTATGTGCACAAACAATGCTAATTCTTCTTAGTAGAGATATTTTTGCCATGCACATGTGAAACTCTATATATATTTTTTGATAAGTACATGTGAAACTCTATATTTACTGTTATTCTGGTGCATCATTCAGATGTTCTCTATTCTGAATGGAAGCCAGACTCAACAAAATGTAGATGGGCAAAGGCATTGCATTCTTGTGGCTGCAAGTAACCCTTATCCATTGCCAACACCAGTTTATCGACCACAAATGCAGAACTTGGAGCAGAGTGAAAATGTTGAGACTCAAACAGAAAGTCGTCTTTCTGATGCTGAGACAGTTGCTAAATCATTTTCTCAAGTACTGTTATAGAGCTGTTCTTTTCTTGTTTACCATTAATGTTTCTCTTCTTACATGTGTTGCCAGTCAGCTGACCCTTATCTTGGCATACAGTGTTCTATTTCTCTGTCAGTAATATGTCCAAAGCAGCTTCCGAAACTTAGAGCAATCTACAATTCGGTAAGCATGACATTATTAGTTGAGTCCATTATTTGTGTTATTTTGTGTCAAGCTTGTTAAATCATTAATGACTTGAACTTATTGAACCAATTACTTCGTTGAACTCCGCTTAACATTTTATGTTGCTGCAGTCTCTAGAATTAAGATTATTAGGCCATAAGAGCACGTCTGTAGCTTTATTTGGTGATATCATGCTTTTGTGGATTGAGTAACTGGCTATATCATTAATCTCTTCCAAGTTATAATATTTAGAGGATGGATTTATGAGAATAATCTCAATGCATGTATAGTAGTATTCAAATACTCTAGTTGTGTTTTCCATGGTGATTTAGTGATGATAATTTCTTTTGCTATTTATTTATAGTCATTTTAAAAACATGTAGATGTTTCACGAGACATAGTTCTTTAATTTCAAGTTTCCCGAACATGTTGGTACGAGCTTCCTCCAATTACAGACTGCCTAACTTCTTCCAAAGCAGTAGAAGAGGCTCAATTGTAAGCACATTTTACATTACTTCAAAGGCATCAATCTGCCTAAATTGGATCATGCACCTGCTCTCAGTTTATAGCCTTGTAGATTCATAGCAGATTCCTGATGAATCCATGGATTTATGATCATAGAAGTACTGAATGGTATTCTAAACGCTCCCAGTATTAGCCTTTAAGTAGGTGTTTCTGAATGTACTTTGACTAGGTTATGGTGGGCTAAAGGACACCAGATTAGTTCAGCGAGTCAGGCAGTCAAACTTTAGTTGTCAGCTGGGACCTACTGCAAGTTAGTTAAAGATTTTAATAGCCATATCAGAGGATGCTGGATCCACTACACATTGAACATATTTTTGGCTGCTGAGCCATGTGAACTTTATGATGATTTTGTTCTTTTATATTTCATAATATATACATACATTGACGTAGAAATGTCTAAGTATAATTTTTTGTAATAATTATAATGATAATATGTAATATGTTCGTAGCAAGAAAATAATATATCTTTCCTACTATAAACATATATTTTTATATTTAAATGTACATTCATATATTTACACTTATATAGGTGCTCTGGTATATTGGTATTTTCTGGACATTCTCTTGCTCTTGCTCCATGTTCTAGGGACTTAGCATAGGCGAGATGAAGTCTTATGGGTCTTGGAGCTTTGATACTGTTATTTATCTCATTCAGCACCGTTTGTATGGAAAGGTTTTTGTCTTTCCAGTACAATGCATTTATAAATCCTTGCTGAACTGAGTTAATAATGTTGTACCAAGTGAAAGAAAAAAGTCAATAATGTTCCAACATCAAAATATCATGAGTTTGGAACAATTCTGCAACAAACGCCTTCAATCACCTTCCTTCCTCATCAATTGGCCACAATTGCAATCTAATATTTGGAAATTGACTGATGAAACCTGCTGGAAATCTTTCCTTCTACTTCTGAAACCTCCTATACAACCATTGCAATGGAAATTAAACAAATCCTCAATGTTTGGACACAACAATTGCTATTGAATCACAACATGACTTCAGCAAATCAAAAGTAAATTGACTTGGTGAAAAATCTGATTCCGGAGTACCAATTTTCAAATATAGACCATTTAGGGCTTCCACCAATCAAGTAGTCTATGTCAAGGAAGCTCTGGACTAACAGTTCTGCATCTGGGCCATACATAATTAAATGACAAAGCACCATGCTGCCGAATAATGATTAGCTCCGGAAGAGATTGATTCACCTCATCAGTAGACACCACCTCTTCATCGATCTCAACTCTCACATTCAGGATTCACATTCTTATCCCATCTCTTCAGGGTCATTGGGTGTCCTTGATATGTATGAACCCTCTTTATAATCTCTTCTTGACAAGCAATGGATTCTAATCTAACAATAAAGACGCCATTTTGTAAAGATTCAAGTTTGGGTTGACCCACATTCTTCCAGATGTGTTGCAAGTCCTCTGTACACTATGGGCCGAACCCTGGTTTAGGTGACCCATGATTGACAAACCCTAGATAGCGCGTATATGTATATATATATATATATATATTTGGATTACCCATGCAGAGTTTTTTTGCAATACTTTAATTTGATGGTGCTCAATCAAATCCTCAAGGAGACTACGGTAATTTACCCGAAAAGAAAATATGTTGGCTATAATGTTCTGGAGACCATGGTTATGCAAATACTAAATTTACTTGCAAGAGAGCACCTTGGCTATGTACTGCTGTCTGTGCAACTCGAAGACTGTAAATTGACCATAAAGTAAAGTCTGGAGTTAAAGTACCGTGGGGGTTGAGGTAGGAGGTAATGGTTCTAAATTTAAAACCTGATTTTTGTACAGCTTGTTGTGAATTCCGACTCTATTTATGGTATATAAATATGAAATGTAGCTACCTTAATTTGAAGTTAACAAAAGCTTCCAATGTAGAAAACGTATCACTAATGTCAAGAGCATCCACTATTCCACTTTAATTTGTGGAGAACATTTTCCATGATTCTTTAATAAGACAGTGATGGTGGTTCCTTGTACAACTAACTTAATAGTGCAGCTGCTTCATAAAGCTTGGGATACATTTTAATTGCACTTTGTAATATGGTTCTATTCCAAAAATTGTTTTGCCGTCTGGCCGCACTCCTAATGCAGTGCTAATTTGTATCCTGAAGCTTGAAATACTTTTTCGTTAGTATAGACCTCCAATTGTTTGGAGTTTCTTTTCTCCTTTTTGTGTTAAGAGTTCTTGCTTTGGTTGGCATCTACTTGTTGATATTATATTTCATATTACACACGATTTTCCTGTTGTGTGTGTGGGAATACATATGTATTTGCATGTTCATAATTTTAAGTCTCGTCTTGAAATTGCTAGTGTTTACGATGCGTGATTTTTTAAATGAAAACAATACTCACTTGTTGTGGGGGCATGTAAATGTCTTCATTACTTTGCTATTGCAGGGAAAACGCAATGCTCGTGCAGCAGATCTACCTGTTGATAATGTCAAAAATCCTCATTTTCTTGTTCTAATTTCAGAGAATTTCATCGAGGCTCGTGCTGCTTTAAGTCGGCCTGGAGTTACAAGTTTGGCACCAAATCAGAGTCCTGTAAAGATGGATATAGCTTCAATTCCTCCTGCTTCAGCGCCACCTTCAACTTCTATACCATCAGGTTGTTTGCATGTTGAACTCAATATTCTACACCTCTTTCATCCATTCCCTTTACAAGTAATCTGCTTTGACTCTATCATTGAGCGTGGTTAACTAAGTTGCTTATTATATTATGTTCTTTTGTCTTCCCTAAATCTATATATATATATATATATATATAGGGTTAAGTGCAAATACCCCCCTCGCTATATACAAAATGTGCAAGAAACACCCCTACTAAAAATTAAGTGCATATAAATCCCTATATTATTAACTGTTGAGCAAATTGCTCCATAATCCTCAATTTTGACTAATTTTTTTATAAAAATTCCAAAATACCCTCCACACTGCATCATCTTACCTGCACTCTCTCAATAGCATCTCTCTCTCTCTCTACATCTCTCTCCACACTCTCCCTCTCTCTCTCTTTCTCTCTCTCTCTCACACACACACACAATCCTTCTTTCTCTCTCTACAACATCCTTTTGGAGCAATGATACATAGCCACATCATTCCCCACAAAATTCTCTAAAACGTTTTTCTTCTCTCTTCAATTTCTGCAGACTCTCTCATTCCTCTGGTTGACTAACAAGATTTAAAAAAAAAAAAAAAAACAAGCGTTTTGTTCAAGATGGTTGTCCGGGAACCCTTATTTCTTTGTTAATGGATTTCCATTACCTAACCCACCACCAATAACATAGTATTCATTGGAAAAAAACAAGAAACACCCAAATTTATTTCCAAGATCCAACACCTATTGTAATTTAGTATTGAACAACAGGTTGAAGTGTTCAATGATGGATATTAATTTATTAATTTTATCTAACACCAACTATAGAGTATTTACATAAATTCAAAGTGTAAGAGTCCTATAAGCTATACGGAATTCTATTTTGTAAAAAAGAGAAAATTAATTCAGTTTTGGGCTTATAAATTTAAATTTAGACAGAGATAGAAGATTTTTCCTTCGATTTTGCAAAATCAGAAGAATCTATACCTACATTATTTGTTAGTTCTTGGAATCCATGGCCATGATTTAGAGGATTCAATGAGTGATTCAATGTCTTCAACCAGTGCAAGTGCATGTAGCTAGTTCTACATGGGTCTGGTGCATGTGTTGTGGTTTTGTTTGTGTGTGTGTGTATATATATATATATAGTAATGAAAATGAAAACTTTTTTTTTTTTATTTTTATTTTTATAAGTTAAGGCTAATTTAGTCATTTTATTGTCCAATTACCCAATTTGTCCTTATGTGCACAAATTAAAAAATGTAGGGGGTTTATGGAACAACAGGGGGGTAATTGAACATTTTGTATATAGCGAGGGGGTTTTTTGCACTTAACCCATATATATATATATATATATATATATGTATATATTTTTAACTCGTACCAATACTGAACTGGATCTGCATATAAGAAAAAAGGGTGACAAAAAAATGGCTTTATAATGTTCTTGGGTTTTCTAACTATTTATCTATCCTGCCTTAATTCTGTATCTGCTTGATTAGGATAAAAATACTTACTCAGTCCTTTCTTAGAGGACGGATGCTGCTAAATTGGTAGATGCAGCAGCACTTAATTATTATTATTATTTTTATTGTTATTTTGTTATTCAACTTTTACATCTGGAGAACTAATATTTTTAAAGTACCACTTCCAAAATGCATGCATATTGAATAGCTAGCATTGACTAAGGGGAGGGAAACATGTCAAACCTTGAATTAAAGTGCTTTTGTTGAGTGTAGACTTTCAAATTTCTTAGTGTCAACAATTTTCCTTGATTAGTTGGTTAAAATTTTAAAGTATGGTTGAGGTCCCACCATGGAACCAATAGCAACCTGGTATCAAAATATGGATATTTTTTTCCGTAATAATTTGCTTACCATAATGCTTGCATGATCCTTTTCTTTTCAGTAAATGGTTCTATCATGAACCGGCAACCAATTCCAGTTGGAAACATCCCCCCTGCAACTGTAAAAGTTGTAAGTATCATACATTCTCTGATTCTAATTTACATCGACTAATGTAGCAAAATAAAGTTGTTTGTATTGTAGTTTCTATGGCTTTTAGGGTCGTGGGATAGGTCATGATTTCATAACATACTTGTTCAGGAGCCAAACACTGTGACCCCCATGGTATCTGGACCTTCTTTTCCACATATTTCTTCTGTTCCTCGTGCAACTTCTCAAGGAGTCCCCAGCTTGCAAACTTCTTCACCAATGTCTGCTTCTCAGGAGATGATCTCAAATAATGACAATGTGCAAGATCTAAAACCTATAGTTAGTGGTTTATCACAGCCCTTGCGTCCTGTAGGACCTGCTGCAGCAAATGTCAGCATTCTGAACAATCTCTCTCAAGCACGGCAAGTGATGAACTCTGCACTAAGTGGGGGAACTTCTATTGGACTTCAATCAATGGGTGGAAATTCTATGGCCATGCATATGTCAAACATGATATCCAGTGGCATGGCATCTTCTGTGCCTGCCGCTCAAACTGTATTATCATCTGGGCAATCAGGTATCACATCAGTTGGTGGATCAGGGATGCTAGCAGGGACTGCACAGGTCGCACAAAATACAGCTCCTGGTTCATTCACTTCCGCAACTTCTAATATGTCTGGGAATTCAAACCTTGGAATGTCACAACCACTGAGTAATCTTCAAGGAGGTGTTAGTATGGGTCAATCAGTACCTGGCATGAGCCAAGGAAACCTTGCAGCAGCCCAGATGGTACAGAGTGGAATTGGCATGAACCAGAACATAATGAGTGGCCTTGGTGCATCTGGTATGTCTTCTGGAACTGGCACCATGATTCCTACTCCTGGAATGAATCAACAAGTGCAACAAGGAATGCAATCTCTTGGTGGGAATAATAACTCTGCAGCTAACATGCCCATGTCCCAACAGACGTCAAGTTCACTGCAGTCAGCACAATCGAAATATGTAAAAGTTTGGGAGGTAAGACCAACTTAACTGTTAGAAAGGATTGAAATTGAATCTGCATATTTTAGATTCAAGTACTTAAGATACTTATCATGCTAAAGTTAGTTTCCTAGAATAATAAACAGTTGTTGATATTTGGAACCTTTTCTTTTATTTTTTTTTTTAAAAGTAAAATGTATTAGAAAGCGTTCAAAAGGGAAATGCGTCCCAAGAGCTGTACACAAACCAGAAAAAAGAAAGAGGAAAAGACCTATGGACTCAAAGAGCCCAAAAAGTCCACAATTTCCTCAATAGATGAATAATTTCTCCCCCAATCCCCACAAAAAAGGGTACAAATAATAGAAAATTCCAATGCCCCAATGAAGGACTCCTTCCCATCAAAAGATCTTCTATTCCGCTCTTTCCAAAGGCTCCACCAAACACAAAGGGGGGTCACCCTCCAAAAATCAACATGCGCCCCCACCCATTGGCCCCCCCAGATGTCCATCAACTCCCTAGAGGTCCGGGGCATGACCCAATGGACACTAAATAGACCAAAAATAAGTCTCCAACAGTCATGGGCCACAAGACAATGCAACAGAAGGTGATCCGCGGACTCTCCATCAATCATACAAAGACAACACCGATTGACAATGATATGTCTTCTCTTCCTCAAATTGTCCAAGTCAGAATCTTACCCTAAGCTGCGGTCCACACAAAAAAGACCACCCTAAGAGGAGCCTTTGACAGCCACACCGTCTTCCACGGGAAGGTGGTATCGTGAAACCCAGAGAGACAAAAAAAGGACTGGACCTGAAACATCCCTTGCGCAGAAGGCACCCAAGTCAAGGAATCCGCACCAGTGCCCTCCATCCCATGTCTATACAAGAGAGCCATCCAACTCCCAATCCCAAAAAGATCGTCGGAACTGCACATCCCAAGACAACCTACCGCTATCATGACGATAGTAGTCAGCAACCAGCCAACCATAGCATGTTTGTCAACAACAATCCTGAACAGCCTTGGGAACAAAAGAGACAATGGGCTATCCTCGCACTAGGAATCCTCCCAAAACCTTTTCTTTTAATTGTGCCTTTGATTTATTATTTTGTTAGTGTTTAGGTGTATTTGAATTAATGTTTTACATTTAGGACTAATTGCCTTGTCACTCTGTTTTGACACATCCATAGTTATGAAATATATTTCACTATTTCGAACACTTGGCCCACACTCTCACATACTCCAAAGAAATGACTTATGTAGTATAAACATGTCTTAAAAGGAACCTTGCCTTACCATATTAGAAACAAGGTGAACACACCTCGAGATTCCAACATTTCCTTTTTTCTATAAGGAAATCTGACATTGTACACAATTTTTTTTTTTTAATGAAAAAATGACATTGCACATATGGTCATCTCAAATTAAGAATGCAATGAACAATTTCTTATATAGGGCAAGAACATAATTATAGTAGCAGAAATATACTAATAAATAAAAAATAAAAAAAATAGTGGCACAAATATAGGAGTATTGTATCGGCATATTTAATGTAAAATCTTTAGCATCATCTTTGACCTTATGCATTCCTAGTATAGAAATTAGCAAATTAATTAAATTTATGTAATTAGTTTATATAATAGATTCTTACAATAAAAAAATAAATATTTATTATTGCCATATCCATGTAGAGTTCATATGCTATTTGTTCTTTTAAGATTTGCTGCATCAGTGTATCTGGGTCGTAAAGTGTTTGTGTCACGTGTCAATGTCTTCTTAGTCCCCCATGAATAGGAGTATGGAAGTGTACAACACAGCATGCAATGAGTATGGCACATGTCTGACTCTGACTAACGTGGCTAAATAAAGGTGTTGTCTAGTAATTGAATGGACTGTGCCGGGCACGACATTGATGTCTGTACTCAGATGACACTTTCATATTTTGCCAAGCACCTTTGTTCATTCTAGTTGCGATTTTTCTTATTTCTTTTAGGTAAATGAATCAATACTGATAGTCACCCAACTCACCCCTCCCTTCCAATTTCCTTGCATGCACCACTACGCCACAACTGTTTTGGCCATTTTTATTGAGTTAAAAATGCCAAAACACACTTACTGTTTCTTCTTTTCCCCAAACCCTCCATTCACTTGTACAAGGGAGATTACTTATCAAAAAAAAAAAAAAAAAAAACTTGTACAAGGGAGATGCTGTTATTTTTCTTCCACCAAAGTTCTTCGTTCTGTCCTGTCAAAAAGGGCAACAACCTTTTTTTCCTACCAATGCCCCTATTAAAGCATTAAAGTACCAAATAAACTAATTAACAATGCACCAAAAGGGGGACGTATGGAAAATGTTTTTTGCCAGCTGCAAAAGCTCTTTCTTAGTGATTGTCATCGGAGGTCTCTTTTCATAGGCTACAAGAAATAAGGCCTTGGGGAGAACCAAAAAACATATATGAACAACAGTTAAATTCAGTAGAATTGTTTACGTTAATTTAGCATCACAATTGCTTATGATAATAATTGAGACCTTGCAATGCAAATGCCTACTTTAATTTTTATATTAAAATCAATAAATATTTTTAAAATGCAAGCAAAAAATTGTACTCAATCAAGTATTGTTTCTTTATTGTATTTTATTTGTTTATGCAATCACTTATAGTTTCTTGAATGATCTAAATGACGCAGGGAAACTTATCTGGGCAGAGACAAGGTCAGCCCGTGTTTATCACCAGACTGGAGGTATGTTTCGCATAGTTGATAAAGGATTTCATTCGAGTTTTATGAAGCTTACTGTTAACACATTTCACATGTAATTTAATTAATTATCTTATCCTAATGATTTTAATCTTACGCTGCAACTAAAACATGTCACATTGTAACGTAATGTAATCTAGTCTTTTCCATCTCTTACATAAACTTCTAATACTTCTCATTTCGCAATTCTGATGTTTTACTGATTTATGGCAGGGTTACAGGAGTGCATCGGCCTCTGAAACGTAAGTCTAGGGAGTATCACAAACATTTGAGAATTTGCTTCAAGTTACTTTTCTTATCATTAGCATTTGAGGTTTCAAAATGTAATCATCTCAATTCTTATAAGTCAACAAAAAGGGAAAATTCTGAACTTGAGCTGCTTCCTTCCAAGTTGCAAAATACTCCTTTTACTCGTGATTAATTAGAGGACCTAAGGTTCAGTTAGATTTGTCATATCGCCGCGTCCATATCATACACTGGCCAGGGCCGCCAGGCTGTAAGTCTACTAAGAGACCTAAGGTTCAGTTTCAATATTATAACCAGGGCAGCGAATTGATTCAGCGGAAGGTTTGTGAATGTGCCACCGCTCTAAGAGTTGTCCTTAATGATGGTATTATATTCTGCAATTTAAGAAATGGTTTGTGGTGACTTTCCTATTAAAGGTGTTTGAGGCAACATTAATTTGTTTCTTGAGGCTATGATGCTTGTTCCCTTGAAAAACTGTGGAATGCGGTTTTGCTGAGAATCATATTTCTTTAGTATACAAAAATAATTCATCCTGTCAAAATCTCCTCTTATTTGCAAGTTAATTATGCCTTTAAAACATTTTTCCTGATACTTCTTTGATGCATTTAAAATGGATGACTTAGTCTGGAACTGATCCTGGGACTAATTGCTTTTGAAATATTGAGTCTCTGGTTGTTATATGTATTATATGAATCTTCCAGTTGTATGAGTTCTTTTCTTTTTTCTTCCATTCAGGCTTGCAGCAAATTGGCCACCAACAATGCAGATTGTTCGGCTTATATCTCAGGACCACATGAATAATAAGTAATTTCTGCCATTTGGAACAATTTTTTTTTTTTGTATAGTTGTAGGTTCATCTCTGATTATATACCTGTTCTGAATTTACGGTCTCTTCAGAAATTTTCATATTTCCTTTATTTAAAACCAGGCAGTATGTAGGGAAGGCAGATTTTCTGGTTTTTCGGGCAATGAATCAACATGGGTTTCTTGGACAGCTGCAAGAAAAGAAGCTTGTGAGTAATCTGAAGGCTTTGCTTATATTTTCTTAAATACTTGTCGAAGGTTACGTTACTCAGGGGACATAGAAAAAAAAATACATTTATTATGACGGAGCACATGAATTAATTTAGAAAAGTTACATAAAGTAATGATAAAATTATCATTATGGCAATGTTAAACCAGTACTGCTATTACATATTTTGTAGTTTCATATATACGAACATGTCTGTGATACTCTGTGTGTATAGGTACACAGCAAATATGTATAACTGATGCTATAGTTGTTATTGTTGCTTATATTGTGGTCTAGATTGATAATAGGCAATTGTGTTGTTATTTTTATTAGTAAGAAGTGAACGAACAGAAATAAAAGGCGGCAAAGAAAAAATAATCTTCTTCTTATATTAGGTAATGGAATCTTTGATGCTTAAATTTTTACTAAGGGCAGGAATGGAAAGGACACAAGAAGAGTAACATGAAAATTACCGTCTACTGCTCTTTCTTTCCTCCTGGCTATTTTTTTTTTTTTTTTTGATAAGTAAGAATATTATAAAAAAGCGCTCAAAGGGGAGCGAAACCCAAGGATACAAGAAGAAAAAACCAAAAAGAGCCTCAAGCCTTCAAAGAGGCCAAAAACATTACAATCTCCTCAACAGAACGATAATCTCTCCCTGAGACCCAACAAAAGAGAGTAGAAATAATAGAAAACTTAAGCATAGAAATGGGTTTCTCCTTGCCTCCTGGCTATTCATGCATGAGGATTGTCCTCGACTACCGGTGCTATAGGTAGGTGTACATTATGGCAGGAACAGTCACTCGGGCTCCTAGCCCAGAGATGCAATCTGCAAGAATGTTACTACTATTCGAGGTAGGCTTACCCTTCTATTGGATCAGACACTAAATACTCGGCCAGATATTTCATAACCTGGACTGCCAGCCCCTCTCCTGCTTTTTTCAGTCAGATCTTTTAGAACCAATTAGTTTCCATTTTTGTATTAATGGCACTATTGTTGTGATATATTAAGAAGTGAGTTAAATCACAAGGCATGCGAGTAAAAAATTTGTTCATAGTTATGTATTGTGCAATATCATTATCATTGTTACTACAAAGGGCTGTAGCCCAATGGTATCTCCTCCACCTTCTGAAATGAAAGGTTGAGGGGTCAAGTTCTCATACGGACTAACTAGAGTGTTTGTTATTTGTCCGGACAAAAAAATTAAAAAATTAAAATATCGCTGTTTCTATTTATTACTAATTACTATCAAGGATAGAAATGGAAACAATATAGTTCATTCTTTTAAAATGTGGTACAGGTCAAGGTAATGTTTGCAGTTGTAAATGGATTGTATCAAGGTTATCTGTTGATGGAAAACTGTTGGCCTCCAATTTGCTAAATTTTAATGTCTTTATTGGCTTAAAGTAAATCTTGTTGATACTTAAAAAAGATGTTGTTTTTAAGGAATATTGAATTGTATATCGGTTTTCAAGTCACTCATCATTATCATCACCATCCTTGCCTATATCCCACATGAATGCGATCGGCCACATGAATAGTGGTTTTCAAGTCACGGTTGGTAAGAAATACTTCTATTATAAATCCCTCCTGTATTCTCATGACTAGGGTCACTCTATTAAAAAATTATTTAGTCAAATATGCCAAAATGTCCATTGATACTGCAATTAAGTATGATAAAATATCCTATATTTGAAAAGGATACTCAATTTTTGGACTCTTAACTTCTCGTTTATGAAGATTTGACCTTACATCTTGTGACTCTTACAGCATAGATCCTTTGCCTATAAATATAGTTTCCTAGTTTAGATTGGAGAAATATGTTGAGCAATGGGGAAAAAGTTTTGAAGGCACTCTGAAGTACTTGATGAATTCACATGCTTTAACGAGCCTTGACAACCAGTAGGGTACAATAATGACTCTTAAAAAATGTGATTTTCAATCTGATAGAAGGCATTGTTATTCTTTGTTAATGTCATGGACTTGAATATAAAAATGTTAGATTGAAACACAATCCCTTTATTACAAGTTATAACTTAAACTTTTAGATTAGATGGCTGTCCAGATTGGCCATAAGCGCTTCCATCATCATCATTATTATTTTTTTATGTAGGGGAAAAAGGTGTAATGCCTTGTTTCTGTCACCTCTCTTCAGTCATTTAGAAAAACTTTGCCTAGTTGCTTTGATTGATGGGACTTCCGAGGAGCATGGATATGGACACAAGACACGCACGCCCTATGATACTAATACATTAATATAGAAAATCTTGAGGGAGGTAGAACACTAATGCGGCAAGGACACGGAAATAGAACATTTTATATAAAGAATCAAATTATATATGATAATGATATTTCATAATAAGTAGTCATATAGCGTGAAATTTTAACTAAAAAGATCATATAATCATAATGATCCTTATTTCATAGAGATATATAACAAGGGCTTAGAACAATATACACATGCTTGTTTTTATGTATCTCTCTGTGTGTTTGTGTGTGTGTGTATTTATATATATATTCATATGTTTGTGTGCGAGCATCACGCTGTCCACACATAATTTGATGACTTCCATGGGCACTTCTTCAATGGAAGTTTAGAACCTTCATACACCTGTTTTTGAAATATGGTCAAATTTATGTAATATTGTAAGAACTTTTAATTTAAATTTTCTTATATTGTAAACTTTTTCCATGCTAAAAGACAGTCATTCCAACTTTCAAGGTTCATTAGTTACATTATTGCATGTACAATAAGCGTTAACCGTGTGTTCTAAATGAAAAATATTATTTTTAAATTATGGACATTTTTAAGATGTGTAGGACATCCAGGAGTGTTGAAGAAGTGTTGGTCTCTGACATGGTTCCTCCTTACAAGTGTTTGTGCTTCTTAGTTGGACTTATACGAGAAACACCATTTTGCCAATATTATATTTGTTTATATTTTTTGATGTTGCTATTAAAAGGGATTTTAGTACTTTTGAAGCTCTCTGATTTACTGAAGCTTGGAGGGAAGTTTGGTGGAAAGGGGGGTTGGCGTCGTTAATTTGTAAAGTGACGCTTAGATGTTGAACACTTGCAACTTTTAAATACTAAAACTGACAACTTTTGGATGCTAAATTTAGAAGATTATAGAATACATACGTAAATTTGGTGCAAGGCTTGGTGCTTGGAAATACCCAAAGATCGCATTGAGTTCACAAATCAAGCCTTGATTTAACATATTTGTATTCTCAAGAATGAGATGATGGCATGTTTTCCCGGAGACTCATGAATCAACCAGAGAAATTTTTTACTTCATCTTGCTTGCCATATTTTGTCAAATGCGTTGGTGGATGTTTGTATTGGAGAAGTCTGATAAGAGTTTTCAGTGTCACACTGTGACATTTTCCTTTGACAGGATTTCTAATGTTGTCTGTCATTATGGATCTCTAGTGTGCAGTAATACAGTTACCGTCACAGACATTGCTGCTATCTGTTTCTGATAAAGCCTGCCGCTTGATTGGAATGCTTTTCCCAGGGGTAAGATGTTATTGTAGATATTTTTATCTTTAATTTTGTAATAATATCAACACTGATCACAGAATTTCACTTTTGATTCTAGTCTCTGAACTTATACACTATATTCGTTCTATGAGTAGGATATGGTCGTGTTTAAGCCACAAATATCCAATCAGCAACAACAGCAGCAGTTGCAACAGCAGCAACAACAGCAACTTCAACCACAACAGCTCCCGCAGCTGCAACAGCCGCTTCCGCAGCTACAGCAACAACAGCAGCTTCCACAGATGCAACAGTTGCAGCAACAGCAACAGCTGCAGCAGCAGCAACAGCATCCTCAGATGCAGCAGCAGCAACAACAACAGCAACCGCTTTCCCAGCTGCAGCAACAGCAACAGCAACCGCTTTCCCAGCTGCAGCAACAGCAACAAATGCCGCAACTGCAGCAGCAACAACAGCAGCAACAATTGGTTGGGACAGGAATGGGTCAAACTTATGTTCAAGGTCCAAGCCGGTCGCAGTTAGTATCTCAGGGACAAGTTTCAACACAAGTGCCACCAAGCATGTCTGGAGGGAGTTTTCTAAATTAACAAACTCAGAGAGAAGACTAGCAGTTTGCATATAAACAGCTACACCTGTTAACCAAAAGTCACTTTATCCTGATTGCATGTGTTTTTTGATTGAAAAGTAGAGATTGGAGAGATAAAGTAGAATAACATTTGATCAATTTCTGATTTAGTTCTGGAATGTAGATATAGTAGAATAACATTTGATCACGAGGATAGGGACTGGGTTGCTGCGATTCTGCTTCCTTGTTGATTGTGTTGTATTGAAGACAATGAAACTGTTACCAGGAATTGTTACGAATCATTATGGCTCCGGAGAACAAACCACCACCATCACGACAATCGTTCACAGCCCCACCACCACCGTAGTCATGGTGGTTGCCTAAATTCCAGCCTCAAGGGCCACCATCTGAGCGCCACCATCACCATCCTCAATCCCACCACAATCATTCACACCCCCACCACCACCGTGAGTCCATCATTCACCATCCGGGATGGTAGTGATGGTTGTGCAACAGGGATGGTGGTTGGGGATGTGAGAGAGGAGAGAGAGAGTTATGGCGGTGGCCATGGTGGGGAGGAGGCAGCGTGGTTGGAACTCCGGAGTCCATAATTGTTGCAAAAATTGCTTGCTTGGTCGATTTCTCCTAATTTGTGGAATCAACAGTTGTGCGATAGAGTAAGCAAGAAATTGCTTGCGTGGTAGTGGCTACAGTGGGAGGAGGTGGCAGTGGTGGTGGCAGTGGTGGGAGGAGCGGCCTCTGTGGAGGCGATGGTGAATGGGTGATACAATAATTTTGGGATTTTTTTATTTATTATTATATAAAGACGCTACGGTGGAAAAAAAAAATTTCACCAGGGCACAATGTAATATTGTACACTACAAGACAAATTTACAATATAATTTACATAATATAAGACAATGTTTAGGAGTATACATATCTATATATATATAGAGAGAGAGAGAGAGAGAGTGATGTTTTTGAGATGAAATTAATTCACAGATATAGAATATAAGAATTAAGGAAATAATTTAGGAGAAGAAAATAAGAAACATATATAGAATTCTACTAGGGATGGAGAAAATTCAGGGGTTACTTTTCATATTTTCATAAAATTATGGAAAATGATAATTTTGACGACACATTCATCGTTTTGTTTAGAGAGTTGTTCCCCAATGATAGTTGAAAATTCAAGGAGCTAGATTTCGGGCCGGGGGGGGGGGGGGGGGGGGGCAAAAGAAAGAACAACTTATGCAAACTATCAACACATCTCAGAGCAGCTGAGGAAGAAAAGAAGTGGAACATTCAGAAACATTCCTGGAATACACTCTCCTCTGTCTCACTCAAGTGAGAGCGAGTCCGCATTTTCTCGTAAGTAGGTTGGTGCGTAAGTCATAGCCTCCTCTTACGCGTTTGTCAATTCCTTCACTTCCTAAGGACAGAAAAATTGACTCTCACGTGGCCGTAGATGAATGGTTGTTCCAAATCTCTCTCATCACATATTAAATGCACTATATTTTTCAGACAAAAATATCCTTTTTAGTTTCCCCTTTTCTTCGCCATATATATATATATCTTTACAAAATTCTTTTTCCAGTGAGAGACTCCAATGGAAATTTTTTTTCTCTGTCATCTAAAAAATTATTAAATAAAAAAGAAGAAAGAAACATGACGAATAAGAAGACGTGATAGTAAATATTAAACACTCATTTAATTCGTAGGGGTCATTGCATATTCTTGATTATGTTTCACGGAATATCGGGATTTATTGTATTGCCTGATTCTTTTATTTGTATTGCCTGCTTAGAAAGTAATTTTTCTTTGTTTTGCCTGCTTAGAAAGTAATTTTGATGGTAGGTCGGAAAAGAGATGTTATTGCAGTTTCACAGAGTTCCACAAGAGGATGTGGAGAGATGATGCATTATTACTTTATTTGGGTAGAGAGAGAAAAGGATCTTCTCGGGATTCATTGTATTGCCTGTCCAGAAAGTAATTTTGATGGTTGGTCGGAAAAAAGATGTTATTTGCCGTTTCACGGCTTTCCACAAGAGGATGGGAGAGAGGATGCATTATTGATGTATCTGGGTAGAGAGAGAAAATGATTTTCCACCTTTTGTTAACCGCTGTATTCATATATTTAGATTTTAAAGTAGGCATCCACGTACAAGTAGTAATATATCGAGTTTGTTTAAGTAAGGCGAAATAGCAGTACTCTAAAATTATATATATTATACAAAAAAATATTATTGACAACTTTAATATCCCATAAATTACGGCTTTTATTCCTTTCTTATTTTTCAATTTTCCATAGCCAATTTCCTTTACCTTTTTAGTTTCCCATTTACTGTTGTATCATCATCTTCTTCTTATTTATTTATTTATTTATTATTATTATTTTTCACATCAAGTTTCATGGTACTCAAATATAATATAAGAATTTGATTTGTAAAAAATCTACGACAAAAATTACAATTTCTTTTTTTTACAATTTTTTAATATTTTATTTTATTTTTAAATTCCTCTTCTTATTTTTGTTTATGGGAGTCAGATAAATCATAAGCTTTGATCATTATAGCAATTAACAAATGCCTAACAATGTTTTATCTCAAGAGTTCTTATAGAGATGCAATGTGATGTGATGTGTGTGTATATATATATATATATAATAGATACACAATTTGATATACATGGTGATTTAAATTTTAATTGCCAACAAAAATACTAGATTAAGATGAAACCTAAAAGGGGACTGCAACTTTCTAAATAGTTAATTACCTTATATTTTTATGGATCCCATTATATTTGACACACATAGATAACCACATAGACTTGGTGAACTAGTAGGTTTTTATTTATTTGGCTAAAATTATATTAATAAACATAATTTTTACTTTTAGGAATTGACAAAAAAAAAAAAAAAAAAAAAAAAAAAAAAACCCACTAATTATTCCAGTTACTTGGAGACCCTCTCTCATATGTTCACGTCTCTATAATAGGTGTTACGTTTGGTATGCATGAATGGAATACAATGCAATGCAATGCCAATTCCAACAATTCATTTGTTTGGTATGAAATTTAAAGTGGGAATTGTCATTCTATTGGAATGAAAATCCATTCCACAACTAAACCTATGGGATGACCATTCCATTTCCAAGCAAATTTTTTTAAAAAATCAACTTCCCAAAAAACCCTCATATTAATTCCAAGTTTAAAAACCATCATTACCTTCAACCACCTCCGCTTTTCACCACCACCAACTTTCACCGTTACCACCGCCTTCCACCACCATCACTGCCATCAACTTTCACCACCGCCTACCGTTTTCCACCACTACCGCCATCGCCTTTCACCATGCCACCACAACATTCCACCATTGCGACCGCTACCACCTTCCAACACCACCACCACCACCACCACCACCACCACATCCTTTCACCACCGCCATCGCCTTGCACTACTACCATGCTGGGAATATTTTAATAAAAATATAATTATATTGTATTAATTATGGTTTAATACGATTTTATTCTACTCATTAAATTATACTTATGTTGTATATTATTTCTATCATTATTATACCTTAGCGGTTACATATTTTACTCCTATGTATACTCTATGTATAAAACATCTATATGAGGACTTTGGAGTATATGGCAAGATAACAGAGTGACACTTTTGTTAGGGTTGTGAGCCTATTCTATTTTTTTCTTTGAGAGTTATTTGAATATTGAGTTTACGAGCAACTAGACTTATATAGACTTGGACCTAGTCTTCCTATGGTCGTGCACATGGACGAGACGCCGCTACGAGCTGATTGTGTTATATTTTGGAATTAACTAGTTTCACCAATACCCGCACGAAGGAAAGGGCTAACAACTTTAGGTCAATGTGTTTATATATGCCTCAACAATCAGACCAGTTTTTCTTACCTATCTTATTATTGTTGTTTTCATTCTTAATTTCTATTATTATTTTAATTTCATTTATTTATCATGTTAAGTTCTTATTCATCATTATATCTATGTTGTTCAATTATGTATTATACAATTTTATGAAAGTATTTTGTTTGATTATTTGTTGTTGTTGTTTATTTTCTTTGAATCATTAAGTATGAATATTGTACTTTATATTTTTCTATAAATATGTGGAATTTCCACAACAGTCTAGAGATGATATTTCCTTAGTAATATAAAAATGGAGTAGATATGTATTCCCTTGATTTGATTTGATTTAATATCTTGTCAATTCTTTCTAAAGTATTATTAATCTTATTTATGGTAATATGATATGGGTATATATCACCGGATGGTAATTGGTTTATGTTGTATCTCTTTACTTTAATAAAATTGATATGGTTAGGTAAATTATTCATTACTATATTTGATCATATATGATTTCCTTAAAATGATTGCACTCATTTTATGTGAACTGATTTTAGTCTTAAAATTAATATATATTTGCGTGTGTTTGTTGGTATAAAAATATAGAGTCATTTACATATAAATTTTGATGCATGCATTAGTTAAATTTTACTTCATATACTGTAAAGTAAAAATTTCTATATTACCGAATTTACTGTATTTCTGCATTGTATATTCGGTATACTCTTGACGGATGTTGCTATAATTAAATAATTTGTGTAATTAATAGCTTTATTATAGCAGTTAAAGTTTATATATTTATAATCATTACGCTTATATAGCACTATTAAATAGAGATTTATATAGATATATAAACACTTGTCCCCCACTTTAATTTTGTATTTCAAAATTTCAGTTGCTGGACATAATACCTATTTTATTGGGTGTTTATTATTTGATTGAGGTTACAAATTTTGTCATTACTCGTTTACTTGTTTATATTTGGAAGGATTATTATTCAATTTATACCTTTATAATGAATTACTTAAATGCGTAACAGTTACATGTAATAAAGCAAATTTATTGCTGCATATTTTGAAATGATTTGTACCATAAAATATGGATGCAAATATATATATAGATTTTAAGTTTTCCAATTTATTTATATATATTTGGTTGATCCCGAAATGTGAGGGATTTATTTATACGGCATGTCATATAATGAATTGTCTTAGGTACTTGTCAATTTGAATAGTAATTGAGCATTTATACTTTTTCTAAATATATCAAATTAATTGTGACGGTTTATAGTAATTTTAAATATTGGTGGGGTGTGAGTATATATATATATATTTATATGTTAATAGCTGTTAAAGTTTAACCGTTACATGGTGCATTATCTATGAAAACGGCCATAACATAAATAATTAAGTATAAATAAAAGCTGAATTTATACTGCATATAAATAATTAAGTATCCGTTTTGAGTTTTGCAATTAACTGTTTTAATATTATTATTTAAAGTGATTAGTTTTGTGAACTGATACAAGAATTGAAGGATAGTATCTATTATGAAAATGACATGAATATAGACAGTTATATATGAGGTTTGGTTTACTTGCTGTTGAAATATTAATGGTTGCATATATATATATATATATATATATATATGTGGTTGAAAAGGAAAGATTCGGTAGTAATACTATCAAATATTATTAACTGTAAATATAATATTTGGAGTATATTTGCTGTAAATAGAATATTGGTTAAATACTATAAATTAGGAAATTATTAATTAGGCCAGTTAGTTATGTGCGTGTATTCTCTCTTATAAATAGAACCCGTGTAAACTTGTAAATAGTGTGCTAATACAGGGAAAAAGTTTATTCTATATTTCTTCCTTTTAAGTTTATATGGTATCAGAGCCACCCTAAAGAAAAAAAAGAAAAAAAAAATAAAATTTCCTCCATGTCAACCTCGCCAATTCTCACTCGGTTCAGATCACCAATATTCGCCTTATTCGCCTTAATGGTGACAATTATTTATGCTGGTCCCAGTCCGTTATGATGTACAT